TAAAAAAAATGTAAAATTCAAGATCTTGAAAATGAAAATAGGCCCTGCCTGTAATCTTAGAACATTAAGTCCCAACTAAATATATTCTAGGCCAAGAACTTATTCTTTATATATTATTTTTCAAAGAGAATCAATCTAAAATTTGAATTGTGTTTTCGTCAAAATCAATTATAATTTTGAGCATCTCCCATTGAAATGGCTCAAGATAAGTCCTAAGCCATAGAGGCAGTAGCATTCCAGGCACCGAGCCACTCCTGCTCCTCAATACTGTCTGAAAAGGTCACTGCAGCATTTAAGTACCACTGTCTGACCACCACACCACACCACACCGTGTGCCAAGCATTCTAAGAGGGATCCTGTAAAGAACGAGATAAGGTGAATGGTCTGTGGGAGACTGGAACATTTCCTCTGTTGTGTCCGAATGGGTCTTCCTAGAGAGGCAAGTCCTTATTAAAATATTCTAAAACCAGTCCACCTATCACTTTCCAATTCTGCCGGACCTACTGACCAAGACAATGTAACCTCTTGGTTCAGGCTACCCATGAGAGGTCTCAGACAGCAATACATCTTATGCCACCCTAAATATTGTGTCAAGATCTGCTGGTCATTTAAGAGTAGAGTCCTATTTAAAAACAAACAGCAGCCACATTCATGATCCCTTGCATATTTGTTTACTAAAAGAGCAAAACAAATTACTAGCATGCAGGTTGAAAAGGTTACATTTATTTTCTTTCACTTTAAAAATGAATCAGCCAACAAGTTCAGCTTCCATGGTTAAACCCCAGGAAGAAGCAAACACACCACACACCTTCTCGGGATGTCAGACAACCACAATTTTACTACACACAATGACATAACTGACTGCCAACATGCCAAGGACTTTTACCACTGTCAGTGCTAAAATACAAAAATTACATGAATTACATAGTCAACAATGGCAAATCAGCGATTTACTAAATTGCACAGAGCATCACACTTTCAAGTATCACAGTGATTCATTTAAATACCATTTTACTGTCACTTTAAATGTATGTCAAAAGTGCTTCAAATGCAGCATACTAGTTAAAATTCTTCCTGGAAGGTTCTAGTGGTGGTAGCTAACTTAGGAAGGTTAGTCACCCACGGGGTGTTCAACAAAGAGCAGGTGGTCTAGCAGAGACACCTCCTAAAACAAAGAGAATGCTGGGCTCACCTCACAAGTTCCTAGAGCACTTAGTCAAGGTCAGAACCAAGGTCATGATAAAGGCCACTCTGAATACAGGAATTCACACATCAAAAGATTGCTGGGTCTGATTTTGGCTTATTTTGGGAAGCAAAGTAAAAAACGATTCAGTCTGTCAGGTTTACTCTGTTCCCTCTGGCAAGTTCTTGGTCTCTGCCTAGTCAGAGAGGTCTGAGGCACTGAAGCGTTTTGAATGTGGTGAGATCTAAAGGTGAGCAAGGTCTGGCAAGGGCCATCTCTATGCCAGGTGGCGGCCAGTGAGAAGGCAACTCAAGGAAAGAATCAAGAGGGGAAAATTACTAATAGACATGCAATTAAGATAGAAAGGGGAAAAGAATTGACTCAAACGTCTTCAGATTATCTTTTGCTTCTCCACAGGTTAATGAGTCAAAGTCTGCTCTGGAAAGCAAAGTACTCTATGTATGCTTTTTGCCTATAAAAGAAACTGATTCTTTGAAAATGGAACATAGTGAAGTAGTCTGGGATGGGGGTCTGTATAACAATGAAAGAACCTCTTTCCCAAAGAAAAAAGCGATGGGGTGGGGGCAAGGAGGAAAATGTGCAACAATGAATGATTGGAAACCCAGGTTCTTTATAAACTTTCATTACAATCTCAATAAAAAAAGAAAGAAAAAAGAAAATGGAACAGTTAAGAGAAAGCTTTGAAATGAGTAGGGCACTAAAACATAACTTCTTCCTTTAAAAGTGGCCACTACATGCCTGCTCACATCTTTGCATACTTCCTCAGGACCCAAGGCTCCAGGCTGGGACCAACACTCTTATTCTGCCCCTGTTTAAAATTTGGACAACTCAAGAAATACACATTCCTCTTCTCTATAACTCCTTATTAGAACAACTGCATGCCAGTAGTAGTACTATAACATTCTTGACCACAGTCAACATTTAACAGCCTTTAAAAATTATAATTAAAATATTTTAATCATATTATTGAAATGTTAAAAGATTATTTACTTTTCTATTTGGAAGTCACTTACTCTATTGTCCCTAAAACTAAAACATAGTACCAGCAAGAACCGTGAGTAGAGGAATGATCTTGTAAACTGTGACAATTCCAAGCACGACTACTGAAGACCCACAGGCGGAAGCACTAGCGTACTCTAGCTGGGATTTTGAATTTATTTTTTAATTTTTCTAGCCCATGTCATCAATCCTCAAATACAGGGGAATGCTCTTCTGACAAGTCTGAAAAGACATTTTCCACTCCACAACCAGAAAAGATGCTTCTTACAGGTCTATGTACCTTTGGTCAGCGGAAACACAATGCAGATCTCTAGCCTGGCTAAGGCACTCAGTTCCGAAACGGGCAGACAACATGCATGCATGGCCGGCCATGCCACAGATCCCCAAAAGGCGCTCAGTGGATGCTGGGGAGAAGGCTGGGGTGTGACCTCACCCCAAAATATCGTGCACAAGCCTGGAAGAGCTTTTATACTTTGGAAGTGTTACGGTGATTAGCATGGCATAAATGCTCAGGCAATTTACAATTAAGTCTTGCTTCAACTGCTGTATATACAACAAAAAGGAGGCTGTCAAAATGCACTTTCAAGATGGCAGGCTAAAGAGAAAAGATAGTCCACAGAACTCAGAAACTGCTAAAGGTTGAGTTTCACAATTACCTTGCTGGTGGGTATCTATCTTTCATCTAATGTCATCAGTATTATGGACTCTGATTTAGCTATGTACCACCACAGAAACGTGTCATAAAGGATAGGCACACAAAAAAAATCTTAAAAAAAATAAAGTTGATGCAACAGAAAGAGAGTAGTATACACTCTGAGGTAAAACAGCCAAGGTGACAGGCTGATGCCAGAAGTAAAGCCTGTAGCCCAAATATGTCATTTGACAAACATCAGTACTTTACCTATAAAATACAGATTCATTTCATTCCTGGTAACAAAATAATAAAATGAGTCCTTTAGAAACCTTGAAACAAAAGGTCTTTTCTCACCTAAAATTAACACTATCCAGTTCAATTTTACAAATGAAAGAGAACAATGTACCTAAAAAGTAACTATATTTATGTGATTGGTTCATACTGACTTCATGATGACTTTTTTTTTAACAAACCCAGGATTGTTTCTCACATTTTTCTGTATCCATTTTTTGATCAATTTTCACAGTTCATTTTGTTTCAAGGCAAAGTGGCTGAATGTGTCACAACCTTTACAATTTTTCCAAATGAGTTCAGAACCTTGGGCTAGCTCCCTGACTCATTTCCAATAACCTGGATGACAATGATTAGAATTTACAAATTTAAAAAACAAAGTATCAGTCATACAGTTATCCTTATAAAACAGTAGGCTGAAGGAATACATTACAGTTATATTTAACAATGGTCACAATCATAGATAAATAATGGTTATGAATTTAATTACATATCAATACAGCAAGTGCCTATTTTATCCAAGTGCAATCTGTCCAAAAAAAAAAAAAAAAAGGGTTTAAGATAACACTCTTCATACAAGCACAAACTTCATTTAGAGAAAAATAAAAGAAAACCAGCAAGTAAATTTCACCACCACCACCAAACTAAATGGAGACTAAGTTAAAAAGAAGGAAAAAAGGCTCACATTCATGAAAAGTTCAGCTCTATAAAACAACCACATTAAAATCAAAGGGATTTTTATGTCTGTTGGTAAACCTCGAAAGTTACTCCAAGTCATATTAAAGGAGTATATACTCAGTAAGGCATATATATAAAGATATATATATATAAAAAAAATTTTCTCTTCAACTTGGGAAAGTGAATAATGCTGAGAAAGAACATTTCTCTTGATTTAACCAGCTTTTAAAGAATAACAGCGCCCACGCATCTCAGAGAATGGGGGCAGGGGACAGAGAAGTGACTGACAAACAACCAGAAACTAATTTTGGTCGCAGTTTATGTAATCCCTAATTCCAATTCATTTTCCTTTCTCTATACTCCTCACAAGTAACTACCCTAAGGACTATCAAATATTCATATATAGTCATACAATCATGGCACACAGGCACCGATCTCAGGAACCTGCAGCTGAGAGAGAAAAACCTACATTTAAATGACGAACAGCATTAACAATGAGTTATAATTATAACCCATTCTGTATAAAGCCTCAATAGAATATTTTTCTTTAAGAAATTTATGTCCGTTATCAAGATCTGTTCTATAACAAATAAAAAGTCAGCATATCAGAGAATCTATCTATACTGGCTCTTAGCAATGTGAGGACAAAAGGCATTTTTCCATGGGAAAGAGAAACCAGTTTTTGGCAACTGTGTATTTTCTGCAGTAATTTGGCATCTCTTGCTCGATGAAGGTGATTTGTTCTTATCTTTTCCCTGTATTAGATCGGAGTTGTTGATAATAACCACAGCTGAAGACCTAATTCAAAGTACCAAACATGAAACCTATTGTGGTTTGCTGAATGTTTTTCGTGTTCCTAGACCAATTTGGGGTTTTAAAAAGAAATAAAGCCTTTTTAACGTTGTATGAACAAAAACATTATTAATGACTCATGAAGTTCAAATCACTAGGAAACACTTTTATGGTACATCATGCTTAATCAAAAGAATCACGTGGTTTTATAAAAAAAAAAATTAAAGAAAAGCCGAGATTTAACAAGCCCCAAATTCTACAAATTCATATCATATGAATAATTTCTGCTGTCCAAGTATCACACACATTGAGTTCCCAAGTCTGCAAAGTAGATCAGTTCAGTTCAATGGTGATAGGTGAAATATTTACAAGCATCATATCTACAGTACTTCTTTCTGCAGATTACAGGCCAATTTTGTCGTCTTCTATTCCTAGTCAATCTGAGTTCGGTTTCCTCAACGAGAAGGGATAAATCTGAAAATGGTTGCTCAGTTGTTTTACCTAGAGAAAATCAGAACATGAGGCAGTGACAAATATATACCTGACATTTTTTTTTTAAAAGTATGCAGAATTTTAAAATTCACTGACATGCTAGAGCAGGACAGTTGAAAATCAGTTGAATAGCTATATCAGAATATGAGAATGAACCTTGCAAGAGTTAGAACTTCAGACTGGGTCTGCCTACTTCCAAAATCTAGTCTTTCCAAATCCTACCAAGCTACGAAGAATCACATTCCTCTTTCCTGGGGGATGAAGGTGTGTGTGAGAGGATTTACAAAGACATTGGCAACTGTGTCTTTCTTCATACATGTGAAATGATTGAGAAAACATCGCAGGGCTAAGGGTGTTGATACAACGCACATGTCGCTCGAACAAATGAAAATATAAATTATTAAGTCTTATATTAAGAAAGAGCTACGGATTAAGCATTAGACAGCTAAAGAAAAGGTTGGCAGCTGGAATTCACTAGGCACTTCTCAAGAGAAGGAAGACGCACAATCTTTCTCTTTGAAATTTACAGCCTTGCGAACTCTTGGTGCAGCTCTACTCTGTCCTAGAGAGACACTACAAGTCAAATTCTACTCCATGACAGCAGACTTGACTTTTGAATTTGAGTAATAGTTTTTCTTTTGTTTCAATAAATGAGGCTACTTTGGACAGAAGCACCAATAAAACAGTCTGATTTTAGCAACAAAGGCAAGATATAAAAAGTTGTTTGTCATCAAGCATGACAAGCGATCCCCATTTTAAAGATATGTTAAAAAATATAGAATTTTCTCAAACAAATTCACTGCAGCATCTCTTTAAAATCAAACAGACCCATTTTAAGAATGATAAAAGTGTATGAATACTCTTTCACACAATCTTATTGAAATAATCCTCAGAAAAGATAATAAATGAACAACAAAACAACTCCAAATTGTACATATTAATTAGAAATTCCAATTCCAAGACCATGTTAAAATTAGGGGGGGGGGGATTCAACCATTCTGATTTTTATTATCTTTATCTTAGTCTTTTTAAAAAATCTTTTCTTTGATATTTTAATGAAAGTTTATAGAGACTTTGAGAGGGGTGGGCAGAGAAAAATGCACGACCACTCACCAAGAAAGCATCCCATACTTCTACTTGCCCCAAATAAGAACCAATGCTTTATAACAGTTACCCTGCTGTAGTTACTATAACATTCATTAAAGAAGTAGTATCTGAAATGACACACCTGGATATAATTAAAAATGCAGGGACTATCCTACAATCCTTCCAGCTCTTATGAAAAGCAAATTTCATTTTAAATTTTCCATCTTCTTTTTACTATTTCATAAGGAGTTCTGGTGGCAATGTGGTTAAGGTTTTTGGCTGCGAACCAAAAAGTCAGCAAGTACTTCAAACACACCAGCCACTCCATGGGAGAAGGAAGTGACAGTCTGCACCTGAAATATTTACAGCCCCATGGGCAATTCAACTGTCTACCCGGTCACTCTGCATCGGAATGGACTCAACAGCAGTTATAAGAACCAGTTGTTTTTTTTTTTTGGGGGGGGGGGGTTTGTGAGGGGAGAAGGGTGCAACAATGAATGAATGGAATCCCAAAATCTCTGTAGATGTTCATTGAAATGAAAAACAACCTAAATTTAAAAAAAAAAGAACCAGTTTTGCCCTGGGTCACTCACCACGTGCACTCCATAATGGACATGAGCCAGCACAAAAACAGTTGTTAACGTATACAGGAGAACGCTCTCGATATAAGGGTCTACCCCGAATTGCACCAGGACGACCACCAGGAACAGCGGGGCAAGCAACCAGTTCAAGGCGGGGCAGCGAGTACTACTCATCTGGCAAACAATCAGCTGGCACTTGAAGTTGGGGTAAAAAGGAAAAGAAATTTAATTAGTAAAGCACGACGACAACTAATCATGCCAACTGAAAGAGGCAGCTAAGTATCTGAGTGATTGGTTTCAGCTTTTCAGAGTCTTCTCATACAAGGCGCTAACACTTTCAGATTTGTAAGCCCAGTGAAATCAAGAGGACTCGGAATATTACACATATTTTACAGAAATGGAAACATAAGCTCAGTAATTAAGTTAAAAATACAAAACTTCCTAACTATCAAAACTGCCAGGGTCTTTTCTCAGCGTCTCCTCATCTCCCAGTCTTGTCCGTGCTCTTGGTAGGCCATCACATAGAAAGGAATTTTTAAAATGCATTGTGTTTTCCCTCTGTCCTTATATGAAAAAGTCACTTGATTAAACAAAGGTATACATCATATGGATAGATGTATAGGCTTTTTTATCTCTCTCAAAAAACCCTTTTGGAGCTTTCCAAATCAACCACCAGATCTAGAGCCATTTTAAAAACAGTTAATAACATCTGGAATCTGAAGAAAAGATAAATTATCCCAGATTATTCCAATTATTTGCACTGACAACTAAAACAGTCTACCATGATTCCAAAAGACAACTGTAGCCTTAAAGTTCTACTGGTTTCTAAGGAAAATGTAATTTCTGGCATGTTTTGTCTTTGAAGTTATTATTCTTTAATAAGTCTAACATAAAAATGTTTTTAAATAAAAACATGCTTATTACAACATTACATAAGATTTCTCTGGGGGTTCTAGTGTCCTAGTTAGTTGTGCTGCCAACAAAAGGGTTCAAATTAACGAACTGCTACATGTAGAAAGATCTTCAGTACTATCTAGCCTCTGAAAACCAGCTAGGTCAACTATGAGTCTGTTTCTACTTGATGGCATTGAGTTGAGTTTTGAGTCAATAAGATTTCTCAGATCAACAAATGATAAAAAAAAATGTACATACACGGAATGACTATGAGGCAGTCATAGAGAAATGAAGTCTTAATACATACTTCAACATGGATGTGAACCTTAAGATTATTACAAATAACGTAAGTGAACATAATATCAGGACAGATACTATATTATCTCACATATATGAAATGACAATGAGCAAATGTATGGAGAACAAAGTTTACAAGTGGTGACTAGTTGCAGGAGGGAGGGACAAAGACTGTTATTCTTTAGTAAGCAGAGAATTCCTGTTTATGGTGATGACGGAACTGGCATTGATTAAGGGTAAAGGTTGCACACATGATTAATGTGTCGCTAAGCTGTACATCTAAAATGCTGAACTGGTATATGTTGTGTAACATCTACAATAGAAGAACTGCTGATATTGCTTTTGTTCAACCAAATACACCTCCTCGGCTTTCTTCCCTCGATTTAGAAGTTTAAGGTCGTGGTTTCACAGGGCATGCTAGTCAAATGGTGTAATATGTTTTCAGTGTTTCTGTCCACTGTGTAGTGCATGGCATCTTAAAACAGTTTTCAAGAAGCCATTCATGGTGTAATATTTGGTCTCTGTTCCCTGGAGCAGTAGAGGAAGGAGATTCAGGAACGGGAAGAGGAGCGAGACACCTCCTCGTCCAGCTGCCTCCATGAACAGCTGCCTCCTTGGCCACATGACGAGAAGAAGTGGTTGGCTGGTTACTGAACTCAAGGTTTTGACCAAAGACTCTATAGATGAATTCTACTTAAAGAGGCAGGGGCTGTGGGAGGAAAAACCCAACTTTTTATGGAATTTGGGTTTTCTGGATCCCATGAGGCTAGATAAACTCCCTCCAAAACTGCTGCCCCAAGTAATCATCCTTAATCAGAATGGTGTTGCAATAATCTGGAAAAGGATAGCAAAGTTAGTTCTGAAGGATCTAGCCTGGCCTGAAGAATAAGACCAACGTCAACTGCACATGTACAAATAGCTGGCTGCACTGGGATATATTTTGCTGTGCATATTTTCACTCACACATTCTGTCATATAATTTTTAAAAGGAAAAGCTTACAGTGATATTGGCAAAGGCTGTTCCAACCATAAAGTAGAACACTCTCGGGTGGATTTCTAAAATATGTGACGGTGAGCAGAGGATCCACGCTGTACACAAAATGAAGAGCAAACATGGAGAAAGGAAGGGAACCATGACTTCAGAGAATGAATTGTATTTCAAGGTGTTATTTTTATAGCTTCTGGAAAAAAAAATCAAGTAACACAAAATAATTACATATAAAATATACATAATTTAGTATTTTTGTCGTTTTCAAAATACTTTCCTATCTATGCTCTCATTTTCTCTTCACAGTAATTTTATGCCATAGGCAAAAACAGCATGATGAACCTATTTTACAGATGGGCAGAAGTCAGTTAACTTGCTAGCACGTGGAAGGGCCAGGACTGAAGCCCGTTTAGTGACCCACGTGTGCAGAGCAGAAGGCTCTGGCTTTTTCATCAGTAGATCACCAGACCTGTTTTCCACGGCACCTCTACAGAAGGTATGAACCACCAATTTTTCAGCTCACTAACTGGTTGAGCCAGGGGACTCATACTGACTCCTAAGGTCCAAGGACTCTTCCTCTAAACTCAACTTTTAAATGCTGTAATAGTAATGTCTGGTCTTTTTAAATGCTGTAATAGTAATGTCTGGTCTTTGTTCTACGATTATATCCCAATAGGAGAAGAAAATAAACACAAATAGTATCAGCACTTTTTAGGTATTTCTAGAAGTTTTAGGAGAAATAATACAACTATAAATATAAAAAAAGAGTATAAAAATAATATTAGGAGTATTTTCCTCTTCTGAGAAATGCTGAGATAAAGAATAGTAGTAACTTACAGTGAGAACAACACGGAAATATTTCGAACTAAGAGTTTTATTAATTGCATGGATTACTATCTCCAAACATACCGGATGTAATCCAATGTAAATTTGCTAATCTGAACTAAGCCTGAAATTAAATCCTGATTTCTGGCGCTGATTTATATGACCTTGGGCAACAGCTTGCACAATCAGGACCTCACAAAGGAGAGGAACTTTAAATTTGATAGCCTCCAGAATGAAGGCCAAGGAGCTCTGGTGACACCATGCTGCACTGCTAACTCAAAGGTCAGCAGTTTGAATCCAACAGTTGCTCTGCAAGAGAAGGCTGGACAGTCCCCTAAGGATTTATAGCCTTAGAAACTAATGGAGGGTCATCATGAGTCAGAAGTGACCTGATGGCAGTGGCTTTTGCCTGGATTTGGTTTACAGTGAATACCAGCTACAACAGTGAAGACTCACAGACTTAGGCTGCAAGAAAAAGCTTTGAGAGCTGAAGGATAAAGCGGAAATACAGAAAGTGTTTCTGAGTAGAAGAAACAGTGGAGCAAAATTACTGAGGGGGAGAACAATAAAACATAAGGTGGAGAGGTTGAGGAAATTCAGTGTCGCTGAGAAAGCATTACAGACCCGAGAAATGAAATGCCAGCTGTCCTACCTCTATCCTAGGCAGATCATCTATAGAGCATCAGTTTGGAAAGATGAGCACAAGTCCAGAGTTTTGTCCTAAACTACACAACTTAAGAAATTTTACTTTAGGATGGTGCTACCTAATGCAGGATGAATTCACAAAGCAAGATGTGAATATATCAACAGAAACCCAGAAGGCACTCCCTCAAGATGAATTCAAAGAGTGCTCAGATCCAAAGTCTAATAAAGGAACCAGTGTTCTTCATGCCATGCGTAAATTGACTACATTAGCAAATCAGATACCATCAAAAATTGCTCTTTTCAAAATTGGGGCCCAGACTCCAAAAGGGAAAAAAAAGTGTTTTTTTTAATTTATGTGAATAATAATTTCCAATGATTTTCTCTTATTTCTGATCTTGTCAGAGAATAAAAGAAACACTTACCTGAAAAAGTTAGATAAACTCATTGGAAGAGTCACACATAATGCACAACCTAAAAGAAAGAATAAAGTTATCATGAGTTCTTATTTAAGAGTGATTATCACAACTGAATGATTTCTTAGAATATGCACTATTTTCAAACCCAATAATTTTCAGTTTCAAGTTTACTTCGGCACTGAAGTGAAATAAATTTCTGAACAATGTTCACATCTGAAAGAGCAGTGGTATCGTTTGGTGACTCAGCCAAGAAGCCAGATTGGGCTAGAATTTTGACTATGCCAATAACTTAAAATTTAAGCTTTTAGTGTCTTAGTTTCCTCTCTTATAAAATAAAGATAATAACAGTATCAACTCCACAGAGTTCTGAGGATGAACATGTGGAGACTGCACAATGAGGGACTGCTAAGAAAGATGCTTAACACATGGTACTGCTTCCCATTTATACCCAGCTGTACTTCTAACAGATTCTATTTCAACTTTTCCCCTCACCTCTACTGCTGTTTTCCTTTCAAGTCTAAGAGCAGACTTTCCAGGAAACCCTATCATTGCTTCTGCTGCCTTCGATGTCTATTCTTATCTTTCCTTTTACTTGCAACACTTTTATGTTGCTTCCTCAGCACTTTTATTCTGATTCACAATTCTGTAGACATTATACTCTTGACATTTACCAGCTTCCCTAAATAATCAAATTCATTTCATGACTTTGTCTTTTACTTCTAAGCATAATGATTGGGTTGACTATCTACTAGGTGTAATTCCCCCCCCCTTCCACTCCCCGGCCTTTATGGGTGCTCTGGTAGTCTAGTTCAAAAAGAAATGTGCAAACCACACCTCTCTAGTGGTTCTAATTCACTAGAAGCTCCAAGGGAGAAAGATGGGCAGTCTCCTCTCATGCCACTGACAGCCTTGGACACCCAATCATGGGTTGGTTAGTTGTGATCTGGTTTCGACTTAATGAACATTCTCAGAATGAGGATGGCACAGTATAGGCGTGTTCAGACTGTTGTTCACAGGATAACTACCAGTCGAACTCAAGTAGACAGCAACTAACAACAATTCAAAAAGGTTCATGTTACACCTAACTATTTAATTCTGTGTCCTTTGGTGACCAACTCTTACTCCTGTGCATTCCTAACTGGGCATCCCACAGTGAACAGATGCTCCCTCAGTGACTAATCTTTTCTTTAAACTACAAGCTTCCTACAAATGGCTCTGATATTTAGTTATGAAGCTAAAACAAATCAGACAGTCTCTCTGAGCTACAGATTCTCCAACTGTATAATGGTGATGAATTAAATTATTTCCTAGTGTCTCTTGTAGCTTTAAAATCCTTTGAGTCTTTTATCTACAGAAATGTCTTTCTTATAATTCTCTTTCAAACTTCAAATCAGTAAATCTGGGCAACTTTCTACACACTCACATTTGGATGTTTCATTGTGACTTTGTCCATTCCTGACTCCTCGTGACTATACTTGGCTTGGGGGTGGGGGGTGATCAATGCAGCTAAGACCTTATGAATCAAAGGTAGAAAAACAATCCTTCAAAACAATTCCTACAGCAATTTGCTAAAAATACACAATGAAATGACTGGATATCTCCAGAAAGAACTCTTATCTTAGTAGCTGGGTTGCTCAGATATTTTCAAATACAACTGAAACACAGTGTCCCAAGTTAGAAGATCTTACAGGAACAGGAAGATGGCAAGCTCAGGTCCTCAAGGGCCCCAGAAATCTTTACAGCCAAGCTACTCATGTTAAGGAGGAAAATCCTGGAGGACAGCCAGAACCAAATGAATGAATTCAGAAGCACTTGTCACTCTGGGATAGTGGGAACAGACTACGAAAACTTGTAAAAAGATTTTCTGCAAAGAGCATTCTGAATTTCAAAAGTATTAAAATAGTTTCATTTTAGGGAAACATGTAAACACCCTATGCCAAGGTGAGAAGTGGCATCTTCTAGTTCTTCATTAATGGTATTTCATACATTCTAATACTCTTAATACACGACAGATTATTTAACTCTAAATTTTTAAGTTTATTTTCTAGATTGTTTATGTATACAGATAACAGTGATAGTACAGACACATTCATAGACTTGCTTTTGGTATTGCCCTAACAAAAGACAAGACATCCTCATGAAGGAAACAGAACAGCTACAGAAAAAGCCCAGAGGTCTTCATAAAGGGGAGTAAATGGAATGAGATACAATTCAAGGCTAAATTTTTATGGTCATTAAAGTATTTTGCTCCTACATACTTCTAGGCATTTAAGAAACAGTAATTTCAATTAAAACTGCAAAGACAAAAATGTATCTTAAAGAAAAGATAAATAACGCAAACTAAGTAGTCAAACAAGAAACCCCAAAGAGCTTGGTGAAGTAGGAGTTTGCTATACATTTCACTAACTCTCCTTCCAAAATGCACTTAGTTTGAGCTGAAGAAGGCAGAAGTTTATTGATTTTACCTATTAAAGACCTATCTGGGGGAGCTCTGGTGACCTAGTGGCAAGAAGCTGCAACTACAATCCCAGAGGTGCACAGTTCGAATCCACCAGATGGTCTGCCAGGGAAGGAGGGGCAATCTCCTCCTGTACCAGTCAGATCTGATTTGACGGTACATGCACACAAAAATAATAAAATAAAATTAAAAAAAAAAAAAAAGACCTATCTGGCAGAGTAATTAAAGATTTAGAACTTGGAACCCTGAAAACAAGGAAACCACAGGTTATTACTTCTTAATAGAGCCAGATATCACTACCTATCCAGCTATAAGAAGAAGTACTGAAACATGCAACAACAAAGATAACTTAGAAAACATCCAAAATGAAAATAACACAACAAAACTTTCAGCATGATTAATTGCACAAAACTAAATATATCTAACATCATGGAATTACAAACTTTAAAATAATTACAATGGGGAAAATTTCCATTTTGTGTATTATTTCACAATAGTTTTTACGAAAAAAAGAACCAAATGGAAATTCTAGGTGAAAATTACAATAATGTAAATGAAAAAAAAATTACGAGATGGGTTAAAAGCAAATTAACTGGAAATAGGAAAAAAAGCACTGAAAATATCTTGGAAAGATAAATGGATATTACTGAATACAAAAACTAAAAAAAATATTAAATTAATAAAGATGCACAAATTTACTTGCAGGTCAATATCAAATTGTCTAACATATGTACTAGTGGGATCCCAGAAAGAAAAAAGAGTCAGAGAAAAATATCTAAAGAAAAATGGTTGAAAACTTCCCAAATTTAGTAAACAAAAGGCTAACTTACAGATCTAAGAAATTCAACAAACCTCAAGGACAGGCAAACACAAGAAAAATAACACACTACATCCAGGATACTAATAATAATATATAGGCTGTCTCTGAAATAATGGATGCTAAGGACATTAAAGTGGCATATTCAAAATGCTGGAAGAAAAAGAAAGGCAAAATAAAGACATTTATAGATAAATAAACACTTATTTAACTGCCAGATTTGCACTAGAAGAAATCTTGAAGTCTTTCAGGCTTCTACACGGAGAGGACACCCAATAATAAGAAATAAAGGAAAGAATGAGGTATAGTAGAAATGGAGATAAATAATTTCTGGCTTATATATATAATGACAGGGAGGAAGGAGTAGTGCTCTATATGAAACAAGATTGGAATTAATACTGAAAATCCTTGAAGTCAGTGATGGTACCGAAGAATTTATTGTATAAAAATAGAAATACTTGTGATTTTGTTAAAAAAGTAGAAGAAAAAACAAAATAGGGTAGAGAGGAGCTTATGCTTTCTACTTTGATGGTCTATCCACTATAATCATGGAGCATATCCTCCCATAGTGTCAAGTGGAGCTAAGATAATCCTTTCCAACTTTTTAACATAACTACACCCTCACTCTGAGGCTCTACCCTGAACACCACCAGTATAAACAACAGACACTAACTTGCCTACGTCTTAAGAACTTTGGTCATTTGTTTCTACTCAGACTTAGCATTGAAAAAACTGCTTTCTTGGGAGCTCTGGTGGCCTGGTGGCAAGGAGCTGCACTGCAATCCCAGAGGTGCAAAGTTCGAATCCACCAGATGCTCTGCCGGGGAAGGAGGGACAATCTCCTCCTGTACCAGTCAGATCTTATTTGACAGTACACAAATAAAATAAAAATAAAAAAATTTTTAAAAGCTGCTTTCTTTATAGAGAAAGAGGAAAGAATTCAAATAAGCTTTTAAGTTAGAAAGAAAATTATATGTCTCTATCAGGAGCCTATCTTTAAATATAATGTAAAGAGGCAGAAAATCTACTATAAAACAAGCTTATATCAAAAGATTCCAGTCTTTTTCTAGGTAAATAAAGAAGAGCTCAAACAGTTTTAAATAAACCCAAACAAAAAAATCTGGTAGTTTACAAGGGAGGCAGCTCCTAAAATACATGAGGCTCAAAGCCATAGAAAAGAAGACCCAGTCCACTCCGTCACTGAAAGCCGGTGCCTAATATATCACACGTGTTCTACTGCCACGCTTCACTAAAGGAAAAAGGCATGATTATTTTAAACTAGAGAACACAGCAATATCCAATAGGTAATTCTTTTCACTTCTACAGTGAACAGTGCCACTAAGTGGCACTCCAGAAGTTCCAAGATAAAACCCCCAATTCCCCTTCCTCTTTCCCTAAGAGCCGCTCAGCCAATCATCCTGTGTTTATCCCCTTAAAGTTAAAACAAAAGAGAAATATTACCACTACTAACAACTTGTACCTAACACACAGTGGGATAAGTGGAAAAGTATGTATGTGAGCAGAGTAGAGGCTCAACTATTTCATAATAATTAAGGTAATTATACTATTTTTGTTTTATCTATTACATACAAACTAGTAAGAGTCAATGTTGACATAACTATGAAACTGATACCTAATTTCCACCTAAATGTGGAACCTCTAATGCGGCGAGATTAATTTGAATAGTTAATTTTTAATTCACAAGGCTTATATGCTCTCTTTTGAAATTTTCCTCTAACAGAAACAGCTTCGTGCTGAACAAATATAAACCCAAAAAAGACACATTCCCCCCATTAATAGTAAGGCTGAAACCATAGAAGGTTGTTTTGCTGTCTGGCTGCCTCTAGTGGGTGATAACAAAGTGATGATTAAGACAGGCTTCAACATGGAGCTTCTTACCAACAATCATTGCAGTGAATAGGTCTCTATATAAGAAATTAAACAGGACAGGTTCATACCAGGCCTCCACTCCCACAACCGCAGTCACTATGTAGACAAGAGAAATAGTCTGGAAGGAAAAATGTACACAAAAGCACACAGATGCATTAATGGCTGTAAAGTTCAGAGAATCAGCAATGCCTTATACAGTATAAATCTAGTCAAATGGTTTTAGCAAAAGCAAGAAGTATGTATAAACTCAATGATGTGGCAAGTCTTCTTGCCTTAAAAAACCACTTAGCCAATAGTGAGATAAAATAACTAACTTTTAAATAATGCAAGCAATTGGCTATCATTTGGAACACTCTAAGGTACCTTGCAAGGAGCTCTGGTGGCTGAGTGGTAAGAAACTATTGCAATCACAAAGGCACATGGTTCAAATCCACCAGCTGCTCTGGGAGTGGGGGAAGATGGGCAATCTCCCATGTGATTTACTGCTTGAGAACCTGCTATAGGGTCAGCTATGGTTTGGTTCTGACTCAGTGGTAGACACAAAAAACACCTCATACACTAGTTAAAATAATCATAATAATTTGTCCATCCAATCATTCCATTCCTCAAACCCACTTTCTAATTTGACTTTTTACTGGAATTTTAGATGCAAATGGGCAAAATGGCAACACAACAAGCTGAGATTCAAAGGCAGGGAGTGTGAATAAGCAAGCCTACACACGAGAGAACAAATCTCCCTACTCAAAAGTGGAGAATAATCTCATTCTATGTGTACATCTTTCTTTACAAACCAACAGAATGGATATTTAATGACATTGAAAAATTATCATCATTTGTTTGGTTCAACACTGTGAGTTTGTATGACTATGTGTATATGTGTTCTTATCATTTAGATATTTTTACTAAAATATTTATGACAATATCATAAATAACTAGGGGCAGGATGAGGAAAGGTGTAGGAAAAACTCTACTGACTACATGGGGGGATTGGAAACAGGAGTGGCATCTACTTCCTAAACAACATGCTTTTAGAAACTCTAAGAACTTTGGTAAATGACGATAGTTATAGAAAGGTTTCAGGTCTTTTGTTCATAGGGTCGCTATGAGTCATACTTGACAGCAAGCAACAACAATATGAGGGGGAAACTGCAGAGGTCAGGTAATATGGGCAGCTAAGGGTTCATCATATAATTCTGTGTATGTTTGAAATATTCCATTAAAAAATGGGAAAATAATTTTCAAAAAGCACACTACAGTTCTAATCAAAAAGCACAAAACGACAGACTTTAAAATCAATTCATAGCCATGGTTGAAATTTGAAGGTAGAACAACACATACTTACCACCTGGCTAACGTCATAGCCCCAAGGCAGGAAAAGAATCCCTGTGTTATACTTTTCCCAGTGTGACAGGATGAAGGAAAACAAAACTACCCACAGCAGGAGATAAAGAACAAAAACACTGACGCCAGTGGATCCTCGTCCGAAGATGGAGTACACAGTGACAACAAAGTAAACACATGACCAGCTATCCAAGCCATGGTCGAACAGCTCCCCTAATGGGGTGCTGGAATTGGTTCTACGCGCTTGCTTCCCATCCACACCATCTAGAACAGAAGCCACAGGGAAAAGGTCAGCATCTGTACAGGCATGCAGCAAGTCTGCTTTAACAAACTGAAGGGGTCAGGAAGGCCCCAGAGTCATCAATACATCACGCTGCTAACCAAAGGGTCATTACATCAGCCAGTATCAAAAAATGCACCCCAAGTTCTGGTGGCTTAGTGGAAAGAAGCTGCGCCACAACCCCAGAGGTATGCGGTTCGAATCCACCAGATGCTCTGCTGGAGAAGGAGGGACAGTCTCCTCCTGTACCTGTCAGATCTGATTTGACGGTACACACACACACAAATAATTTAAAAAAAAAAACTCCAAAAGTCCAAAATTTTAATTCTCACAATTCAAAGCTTGTAGTTTTAATCTAAAAATGAAAATATATCACAGTATGCAACTCAACCCTTATGAAATAAACTGGGTAATGGGTTAACAATTAAAAATATATAAGATCAGAAGAACCTGCTCTCTAGGTAGATTCTGAATTGCTCCAAGTTGACTAGCAATTGGGTTGTTCTAATAGTCAGCCACAAATGCTCAGCCTCCAGCAAACCTTCACTATTCATATTCCTAGAAGATGCACAAACACTGCATCCTCTAGGATCCAACTTTGGAAATCCTTCCTATTTGGTATTAAAGTGATTTTAGAAATAGAATTATTGCCACTATGGATGCTTTCAGAAAAAAAAATGTTGTATGTGGTAAGTAGGTTCTTAGCAAATGCACTTCTTCACAGATCTACTGCCTCTGGCAGTACTTTCAGAAAATGAAAGCGTAGGTGGCCGGCAAAGGCCAGAATTAAATTTACTGAAACTGTGCAAGACAGTATTTTCTGTGTGTGAAGATTATAAGGATAAATCGAGTAAGTTTCTGCTCTCAGAAAATTTAACTGAAAAAGGAAACCAAGACATGAAACGTAAGAGAAACCATGAAAGGATCCAGAAGAGACAGGGTTCTCCTCACACTAAGATAATTTAAAATGCCTTTCCAGACAAGATGAAATTTGAGTGGAGATGTAAAGAATGAGTTAGATTTCAGTAGATAAGTGTTAAAGGAGTGTGCCATTTCAAGAAAAAGGAGAGCTATCAGAAGGAAAAAAAAATGAGATGGAAAAGTACAACACAGGCTCAGGGAAGGTCAAGTATTTTAGTTTGACCAGAGACTAGTAGTACATGAAGAGAGTGACAGGAAGAGAGTCTAGACAGGAAGCTGGTGCCAGTACCTGTGGAGGAGTAACAACAGTCTATGCTTCACAAACATTCACCTGAATCAGGGTGAATGACAGGCTGGAGAGAGGGGAACTAAAGTAGGCCTAGAGTGAGCCACAATGAAAATCTGAGGACTGGTGAGACAATAAGGAGATACAACAAAAGATAGAAAGTCTAAAGACAAGGAAACAGAAGTCGGGGCAAGGCTCTCAGTCTGGATAACTAAGAGAATGGCAATCATAGTGCTAAGGAAGTCTGAAGAAAACAAGAGTGATAGAAAACATGTACCATACAATTTTAGACACTGAAATTTAAGTGCTGGCAGGATATCCACATAGTAATTAAAAAATATCAATTCTTCCTTGGCCTTGTTTGTTCACTGTCAAATTTTCACGTCCCTATGAAGCAATGGAAAATAGCATGGCTTGGAGTCATGCTCACCTTAATCTTTAAAGTGTTCTTTAGCACTTTAAAGCAGTCCTTGGCAGAATTCCTTACAGGGACTCTCAACAAATCCACTCAATGCAGTATGACTTGATTTCTTGGCTGCTGCTTCCAAGAAATAACTGATAACTTCAATCTTTTTTTCCATTTAACATGATGTTATTTCTGGATCCAGTTGTGAAGATTTTGTTTTCTTTATACTGGGGTAGAACTCATATTGAAGACTATATAGTCTTTGATTTTTTTCAGTAAGTGCTTCAAGTCCTCTTTGCTTTCAAGAAGCAAGGCATTAATGAGTCTTCCTCCAACCCTGACGTCGTATTCTTCACACAGTCCAGCTCCTCAGATATGTATAAAGATGTATAAAGATACAACAGGTAGAGTAAAAAGATAACTGATGTAGACCATTCCTGACTTTTAAACATGAAGGATTTTCTAATTGTTTGAAGGACTTCTTAGTCTGTGTACAAATTGCTCACAAGCACAATGAAGTGTTCTGGAATTTCCATTTTTCTCAATGTTATCATCCATCCAGTTATTATGATAGACTCAGTCAAATGCCTTTGCACAGTCAAAGAACAGAAATAAACATCTCTGAAGTGTTCGCTGCTTTCAGCTAAGATTAACCTGGTATTAGAAATGATATTTCTCATTCCACAGTCTCTTCTGAATACAGCTTGAATTTCTGGCAGGTTCCTGTCAATGTGCTGCTCCAGCCATTTCTAAAGCATCTTCAGCAAGATTTTACTTGTATGTGCTATCAATGATACTGTTAGGTATTAACTGCATTCTGCTGGGTCACAGCTATCTTGGGTTTTTAGCTTGTTTGGTTTGTTGGTTGTTCTTTTTATACTATTATATGTTTGGTTTTTTTTTAAGTGGGCACAAATATCAATTTCTTCCAGTAGGTAAACTAGGTAGCTGTCTTCCAAACTGCTGAGCATAGAGAAATGAGCACTGCTAGAGCTGCATGCATTTTCTGAAACATCTTAATTGATATTCTGTCAATTCCTGGAGCCACATTTCTTTTTTTTTTTTTTTCTTTTTTCTTTTTTTGCAAAGCCTTCAATGTAGCTTGGACTTTCTCCTTCATTACCATTGATTCCTGATCACATGCTACCTCTTGAAATCACTAACTTAAACCAATTCCTTTTGCTTCAGTGGCTCTATACATTCTTTCCACCTTTGATACTTTTTAAAGAATTAAAATTTTGCCATTGTATTCTTCAGTATTACAACTCAAGTCTGAATTTTCTCCTCAGTTATTTCAGCTTGGGAAACGTCAAATGTGTTTTTCCATTTTGGCTTATCAGCTCCAGGACTCTGGACAGCTCATTATACTCTGGTAATGTTCTGTTTGGCTCTTACTTCATTATTTCTTCCTTTGCTTTAGCTTCTCTTTGTGTTCTTTCTAATATCCTGATACATATCTCTGTAACAGTATCTCTCTCACTTTCTTTGTAATAATTTCATGCTCCTGTGGTTCAGTGGTAAGGCGTCACCAGGGCAACCCAAAGGCATGAAGTAAGACTCCACCCTCTGCTACAAGGGCGAAAGATGGGTGATGTTCTCCCATGTGATTTACAGCCTCTAAAAAACCCAGTGGAGGGACAGCTATGAGTCAGTTCTGACTTGACAGCACATAACAATAACAATATGTAGTATTGCTTCCTAAACTTGAGGATAAGAAAAAATGTTCTTCAAGGACTGATACACTTGGGGAGATTTTTTTCCAAAGGGCTAGATAATAAGCGTTTTTAGATTTTGTAGGCCACGTACTGTTGCAATTACTTAACTGTGTCATTACAATCAAAAGCAGCAATAGATGGTATGTAAAGGAACAGGCAACGGGCTCAAGTGATGAACATGACAGGGTTCAGATCTGTGGTTCATAAAGTTGCTCTGAGTCATACTCAATGGCACCTAACAACAACAAAGAAATAAACATAGCTTTGTCCCAAAAAAATGTTATTTACAAAACAGGTAATGGGCCATATTTTCCCTTCAAATTATAACTGGCTAACACTTATCTTGGAAGCAGGATTGGCATCTACCTCTTAAACAACAGGCCTTTGAAAACTCTCTGAACATTAGAGAAACGACAAAAGTTATAGAACAGGGTTCAGATCTTTTGTTCATAGGGTTGCTGTGAGTCGTACTCGAGTGAACTACACTTAACAACAATAACTCTTATCTTAGTCTTTACATCCTTAGCAATGAATAACATTTTTTTCAAAGAAGAATTCAAAAGTGTGGACATCAAATTTAACCAAACATAATGAATCTAATTAAATTAATCCTTGCTGAATGCTTCACCAGCTGTTAACTAGAAAAAACATTTGCCAATATCTTACCTAGTGTGTATGCTACGAAGTTGAGGATGCCCACTAAAATCCAAACCCAGTCAGGGACGTGCTTGTGCCCTGGTGCTGAAAAGTAAAACAAGTAACATTTAATACAGTCTAAACGCAACAGTTTTTACAATAGCATACAGCTAAGGAGAAGAGTGATAACTAGAGGCTAAATTACCTCTACAATATATTTCCAATACGGGGCTAGGTAAAATGTTCAAATGCACGTGTAAACCCTAGCTAAAGCACACAAGTAACTCCTCAGGCCTTTTTAAACAGTTCACATCTACTTTGAGTTTTAATCTTAACTCAAGATTCATTTTGACATGAAAAATTATTTCTTTGCCTAGAATGAGAAAGAACACATCTTGAAATTCAAAAAACAGGGTCATTTCTTTTTTCTTTTTTTTTATTATTTTGTGTGCGTGTACCGTCAAATCAGATCTGACTGGTACAGGAGGATATTGCACCTCCTTCTCCGGCAGAGCATCTGGTGGATTCGAACCACATTCCTCTGGGATTGTAGAGCAGCTTCTTGCCACTAGGCCACCAGAGCTCCCCCACAGGGTCATTTCTGATAATACTTACTATCGATCGATCGATCGATCGATCTATCTATCTGTCTATCCATCTTGACCCTTAACTCTCTCTTACTCTATTTTTCATTAGCTAACCAAATCAGCTTTTCAGCTGAATATAGAATACCTTAACTTGGAAATGTTGGCATTAGAAATGCTCATCCCTCACTTTTACCTTATCACAGAATAACCAAGAATCTATAGTTGGTTTTATAATCAACTAGCAATGTGACTTTGGATATACCATTCAAGCTCCCATCTACTACTCCCAAGCAGAAAGAATGCAGCACACCTGGATCATTTATTTTGTCCTTTAGGTTCTAAAATCTAGAGATCTATTATATTGTATATATTATATTTTTATTTTATTAATAAACATGATAAATCACCTTATTTAGAGTCTCCAGAGGAAAAAAAATTTTTTTGGTTACTTTTGAGGATGTTCTGAAGTTTAAAAAAAATAATACCCAAACCATGCTTAATGAAATTTTACCTAATTCAGTGCTCAAACAGAAATCAAGGACATTCCAGTGTTTAAGGATTGGCATTTGAGAGTTCAGTTCCCATTTTATTTTATGTACAGAGCAATAGCTAGACGTTTCAGTTAATAAGTTTGGTGTGCATATAAATTTCAATATTTGTCTATCATTTCAAAAGTCCCAGGTGTTTGAAATTTAATTTTCCTACAAAGTCAATGTTCTCAATGATTATAAATTTTCTCAAGTTAGCCCACAGAAGTCTGCTGAACCTCAAGAGATTAATTAATACTAAACTCCTACTTAATAGAACTCCTAAATACACCTATTAGAAAATACTTTTTTTAACTTAAAATGCCAAGAATAATTATCTACCTCTATCTGTCTCTTCTCCTCAGCTCAGCCAAGTGGCTAAGCAATGGATGTAATCTTATCTTCTACTATTCTCCTTCATTTCAAATAACTTCTAGGACCCACAGTTTACTCCTATGGCCTAAGGCCAAACCTGGATTTGAAATAAAGTAAAAATAGGAACAGAACGGCAAGATATTGATGCCAGGGCAGGAGGAACCTGAAAGCATGCTCCATCATATGGGGCCAAACTTTTGTCAATAACCATTTTAGGTCTAAGAAACATTTTCAGGGAAAGCTGGAGTTATTAAAGGCAAATTCCTAGAATTTGGTAAGTGTATTGGCCCCTGTTTGTGCCCATTTTTTAGGGAAAGTGTAGCTATTATTAATTGTCCATCTTCTTGTAACTCTGTTCTTTATCATTAGACAGCATACTTTAAATAAACAAATAATAGTTCCAGAAATATATACATACATACATACATACATACATACATACATACACACACAAACAGATATACAGGGGAAAAAATAATAGGTCACTAAAACAATCTCGTTTCGGTATACAATCTTAACATTTCACATACCATTATAGAATATCTAAAACTTCTCAGAAATATAAACATGTTAATAGAACCAGAAAAATGACCACTTCTCTTTTATTTCTACAAAACTTTTTATCAAAGGAATAATCTTACCTGAAGCATAAAAGTCAGGATCAAAGTATGCCATAAGTAGAAAATTGAATACAACCAGTAGAAAGCCAGAAAAGGTGATCAGATTTGGAGCCAGCCAAGTAGGAAACACCTATATTGTTTTTTCCAAAGAAATTTACAAATTAGAGGAATCTCACTTCAATATATTAGAAGTAAAAATCCAAGTAATAATAAAAGCTATAAATTTGAAAGATCAAATGCAGAAGTTTTAAAAATATTTAAATGTAAATAAGCCCTCCTTGATAGAAATAAGCATTTCTTCTAAAAAGAAAAGCATTTCTTCTCTATTTTTAAAATGTAAGTGAACAAGCTTTATAATAATAAAATCAAATTTATTTTAGTAAATTTAAAAGGTACTTTACAAAGATGACAAATTCTAGAAAATCTTAGATCTCTATAGTGAAATAAGTCAAAAGGTATGCAACAAATGAAAGATATTTTCTTTCAATATCATTATCAAAATCGGAGTTACAGTTACTACATCCCACAAAATGACTTAAGTTATTCAAAGCTTACTAAACTTATCTTACCTTTACTAGAGTGTTCCAGAATGGGTGCATGACATATAAAGAAAGTGGGCTGGTATCCACAGCACTGTACTGTTAAGAAATGAAACCAAATATTCCAGAATTAATCCCTGCATACTTAGTAAATGGTACAATATTTTGCAGATGAAAACAACAGGGGGGAAAAACCTGTGAAAAATACAACTATGTATATGACATCGTCTATCAATGGCAAAACTGGAATCTTAATGTAAATTGGTCAAAGGCAGTGAAACACAGATACTACTTTGCAGGGCAGGACGGGAAGAGGATATATGTATAAAGATCAATTTCCAAATCAAAGATTTAATCTTATTTTGGTTGTTTCATCGAAACCTATTAATTCAGTACCCAAAGCACCACGATAATCACTGATTCCTCTTTTCCTCTCTATAAACTTATATGCTATTACAAGACTTCAACAGAGAAACATCTATTGTTTAGACATTCTCCTAGTTACTTAGAATAAGAATATGGTGTACGTTTAACCACTGACCTCCAACCTTCTCAAGATCCTTCATTCCTCCCGATTTGCAGAAATCTACTTGTCTTCCCCTTCTCCCATGCCATTTCTAATACACTTCACTGCTGTATAATTTTGGGTAAATTACTTAAATTCTGCCTTTTTTCACCAGTTTTTTTCCTCTGTAAAATGAGCAATAGTCCTTACCTCAAAGGACTGGCGTAAGAATTAAGTAAGTTAATGATACAGATAAAGAAAGCCCTTAGAACAGTACTTGGCCCATCATAACTGCTATATAAGAAACACTAGATCCCTTTATGTAAGGCAAGTGGAGACTGTATGAATAAGTAAAAAACAAAACCAGCATAAGGTTTTGTGGTAACTGAGTTTAACTTCTGAATTACTAACATTATCTAGTATGAAATTCCAAAGAACATTTTGACAAGTATATATATTTAAATATGTAGGAGTAGGAGTCAAAGGGAACATTTATTCATCTGACACACAGGCACTGATGTTCCTGAAATGCAAGAAGCTCTACAAAACTGTTAAGAGACCACTCTCAATGTCAATGAGTTCACTGTATTGCCTTTATTATTGTTATATGGTGTTGAGTTCAGCACAGGAGGAGATTGCCCATCTTTCTCCCATGGAGCAGCTGGTAGATTCAAACCAAGTGTCTTTGAGCTAGCAGCTCAACTCCTTACCATTAGAAAGCCAGAGCTCCCTTCTTTATTAAAAGTACATAAATAGTCTGTATATAAATAAGGCTTAATTATTAATTCTTCTAAAAAAATCATAATTAAAGATTAAAATTTCCTTCTGAATATTTATGAGTATGTAGGAAACACATTCTCAATGTTTCAAGCCTCAAGTAAGCGATGACACACTAAATAAACACAAAATTTTAAAAATACTATTGTGGTAGTATTTCTATGTATTGAGTTGGAAGCGACCATAGCTGACCCTCCAGAGGGTTTTCAGAAGCAGTTAACAGCATGGGGGATTGCCTATTCTTTTCCCCTGTGGAGAAGCTGGTGGATTCAAAGCGTGTGCCTCAGGGATTGCAGCACAGCTTCTTACCAGTAGGCCATCAGAGCTCTATCAGCAAAGAAAATTGTTTACCGAGTCAAATGATTCTTTAACAAACTCCTTGTGTATGGTTTTTTAAGATTCTCCAACCCATTTTTACTAAAACAAGTTAACTGGGCAAAACACTTAAGACAGGAAAGAAAAGAAAAGAAGGTGATTACTAACTAGAAAGCTGCCTCTAGACTCGGGGCATGCGACAAAATTAAACTGTTGTCGTTAAAGTTAAACTGTTGTCATTACAAAAAATAACTTTTATTTGTATGGTACTCTATAAAGGAGAAAGTAATATATAATGTACTTTGCAATTATGTAATTTGTACCAGGATCTGAACCTCTACAGAATGAAGGAACTGACAAAGTTGCATGAATTTAAGTCTCCAAGCTAGTTGTTGGTGTTGTTATATGCCATTGAGTTGCCTGTGAATCATAGTGACCCTATGTACAACCGCCCTAAAACCTGCTCTATCCTGTGCCAATTTTATTGTCTCTAACACACCTATCTCCACTACCTCAGTCACTGAACCATCTCATCAAGGGTGACTAAGGTGCACTTGATACGGACCCGTGATCTTTGCAATCACTTGCTATGCATCAGAGAACTGGACAATAACAAAGGATGAAAGAAGGAGAATTGATGCCTTTGAGCTGTGGCGTTAGAGAAGAGTATTGAATATACCATGGACTGCTAAGAGAAAAAATGCGGGAGAGGGTGAGACCAGGCTGCTCCTTGGAGGCAAGGATTCTGAAGCTTTGTCTGACATACTTTGGACATGTTGCAAGGAAAGACCAGTCCTTGGAGAGGGAGACGTGATGCTTGGGAGGGTGGAGGGACAGCACAGGAGAGGAAGACCTCCAGGCTAGAGACAATATAAAATTGACATGAAATCCTAATGACTGCTGATGGCCAGGAGGAAATCCACACCCACATCCACATGATACCACCTATAGGTCAAACAAAAAAGAGGGGAAAAAAATCAAACGTTTCAAGTCCCTTTCCTACAATTAAGTTCCAAAGTCATAGGACGTTCAAATCAGGGAAAAAGTGGCTTACCATATCACATGAACACCAAATACAATGCACAAAGCACAATGCTCTTAATTAAATGTTTGCTGACCAAATCTCATATAAATTAAAGCCACTGAATTGTGGTAAATTGATTAGTGAGCTTCTAAAGACTTTAATTTAGCCTTAAAAAAAAAAAAGATCCTTAGCTGGTAACATTTTGCTTGAAAAGCTACTCTTTTTAAATTCTGAAGCATTAAATCTTCATCTCTACTTCAGGAGATATGTTGAAGTAGAAAAAAGAACACAAAACTGAAACCATGAGGCCAGTTTACCTCATTGAACTTTAGTTACTTAACATTCAATAACAGCTGATGAGCTCAAGTATAACAAGGAAGATTAGTATAAGATTACAAAAAAACGGATTAGTGTAAGATTACAAAAAAATTAGCAAACAATAAAACCTACAGAACACACTGTGCTCTAGTCTTCATACATCTTTATACTTTCCAAGGTTCCTTATCATTTCAGAATGAATACGGATAATGTAATCTCCTCTGTAAATACCACAGAAGGAAGGTAGTTGTTGTTATGTGTCATCGAGTCACCTGTGACTCATAGCAACCCTAAGTACAACAGCTCTAAACCCTGCTCTATCCTGAGCCAATCTTACTGTTTCTGATATACCTACCCCCATGACCCCAGTCACTGAATCAATCCATCACATGGAGAGTCTCTTTTGGGCTGTCCCTCCACTCTCCCAAGCATGACATCCCTCTCCGAGGAAGAAAGGTTAAGATCTTGTACATATATGAAAGAAAAGTGAACACTTTAAAAAGTGTTACAGAAGATCTGAGTTACTTGTTAATGCCTGTTGAATGTATTTTTCTTTTCCATTGGTATGTATGATGTTTTGGTAGATACCAAAAACCGGAGCCAGGTGGATAATCCAACATAAAGGTCAGTGGGCAACAGTGGTATGGTTATATACTGGTACATGGTACGCTGCCTTCCAATGCTAAGGACAACTGTGACATGCTTGATAACAACCTATAGGGCCAAAGTGAGCTATATTCCCACTGTCATCTATTAGATTCCAACTCACAATGACCCTGTAAGGGCAGAGTAAAAGTGCTCCAGCATTTCCAGGGCTCACATACATAGCCTAAGAAACTTTCTGGAAGCAGACGACTTCATCCTTCTCCCACGAAGCAGTTGCTGAGTTTGAACTGCTAACTCTGATATTAGCGGTCAACCATTTTAACCACTAAGCCACCAGCACTGAGGAAATGCCTGAGGCTCACAGACTGCCTGTGACAGAATCATTCCAAGACAAATTTTCAGAATCACAGAAGAGCTAAGAGGATGTCTAATGCCTGACCCTAGCAGCAATAAAAATAAGTAAAAACAACCTGTTGTTGCTGAGTACTGTCCAGTCAGAAATGACCCATAGCTGATGCTCCAGCGAGTTTTTAGAGACTGCTCATCCGTCTCCTGCAGAGCAACTGGTAAATTCAAACCATGTGCTCTTAGGTTTGCAGTGCAGCTTAACAATAGGCCACCAGAGCTCCCTAAAAAGGTGCCTAGTCTTTTTTCTAAACGCCTCTGGTTAAAAAGAACACACTAAATGTAAAAACAACTCAAACCCAAAATAATCAAATTCACTATCACTGAGCTGGAATGAACTTATTGGGTTTCCAAGCTGAAAATCTTTATGGGAAGAGATTACTCTTATTTCTCCTGGAGTGGGTTTGAACTGTCAACCTTTTGGTTCACAGCAAAATACCTTATGCACTGTGCCACCAGGACTCCTTAAAAACAACTCAATCTAATCTAATCTGATGTAAAAACAACGTAAACTTCACTCACCCTGTACTTTCTATTGCTTATTTTAGTTTATAAAGCTAAGCAGAAAAGGTTCTAGGGTTTTTTTTTCATACTATATTCCTTCAAATATTTAAAGAGAGCTTCCTAAAAAAAGAGAGACAGTTCCCTGTTACACCTAAATCTTCCCTTTACATGGATGAACATGGTTGCAACCCCTTCATTGTCTAGGCCTACTTCTCTAGACCATGTCCCAGTTACTATTTCAACATTCTTTAATAATTAGAACATGGAATGTATAAAGTATGAATCTGAAAAATCAAAAGTTGTCTAAATAAAAGCAAATACATAAAATCACAATATCCTAGGCATTACTGAGCTCAAATTGGCCATTTTGAATCAGACAATCATATGACCTGTTATACAGGAATGGCAGAATAGATGGCAGAAGAACATTTCAAGATCTGTCCTGACATACAAGGCTACTGCTGTATAAAAAGCACAAAGTCCAACCACAATTAGCTCTACAAAGGGAACTGTCCTTAACAACAGCATCCCTGGTACCAGTCACAAGTTCAGACAAGGCTCCCCCATGCCCCTGTACGAACTTCTACAAATTATTGGGTCCAATGTTCATTGCAAATGACTCACAGACTTTAGTTTACTCATAGT